CTCGCGCACCCGGCCCCGCGGACGTCGTCGACGCCGCCGGTGTAGGCCGTCTCCGGCAGAGGCAGCTCCTCCGGAGCTCGCAGGCGGGGGGGAAGCCGGGTCGGGAGGGCGAGGGAGGCGTCCAGCCCTTTTCCTACTGCCTGCTCCAGGGCTGGGCCTAAACGATGTGTTATGTTGTTTTGTTTCCGTTTTGTTTCTCGCGTTGCTCTGCCTTTTTTCCTGCAGCCCCCCTGCCAAAACGGAAAACAAATCGCAGCCGAAGTCCGGCAAGACAGCGTTCAGGTCCGGCCCTGCCCTGCTCCTCTGGCTGCTTGCCTCCCCTCTGGGGAGAGGGGGGGGAGGAGCGAGGCTTAGGTCAGGCATGTCCCCCTATAAACGGATTTTGGAAGAAAAATAAGATAATAAAATAACTACCCCAAAAAGGAAAGCAAAAACATCACAAATCGTCCCTATCGTATGTTTTGACTATTCTTGAGTACTCCTCCTGTAGAGGGACCGGCCCGACTTACAGCGAGGCGGATATGCACAGCTCTCCTCAGGTGGGGAGCGCAGGCTTGGTCAACTGGGGGAGAGGGGAGCTGTATGCCCCAGGGCACGCAAGCCATCCTCCTTTCGGGGAGACGTAAGACTCGGGTACGGGGGACGCGGGTTGGCCTGACGGGGTCCATCATAAAAATGACGAGACGCAATCTGAAATTTGACGCGAGCTCCCACTGCAAACATCCCACGAAAACTGGACCGTCAAAATCCAGGACGCGCTCGTCAAAAAACGTCGGCAAACCCGAGTTCCGGCTTACCCGAGTCTTACGTTCCCCCGATCCTTTGCGGCACGCTGCGTATAGTGCAGCAGCGGAACAATTACGAGGACATGACTGCAGTCATCGGCCTCCCCTAAGGAACGACGAATGAGGAACGAGACCTCTTTTTGCTCCAAGGAAGAACGCGTCAGGATAGATGAATCATGAACAACGCATGAGGAACGATGCGGGAAGCATGCAAGCCTAAGGAACAACCGAGCCCCTTTTGAAAAGCAAGTGTTCCTTATTCAAGCCGCTCGCTGTATGCCCCAGGGCACGCAGGCAACCCTCCTTTGCGGCACGCTGCGTATCGTGCAGCAGGCGGGACAATCTCACGAGGACGTGGCTACTCCCCGGGGGAGACGTGACCGACGAGGCGAGCGGCGGGAAGCACAGGCCGAGAAGGGAGCCCCGCTGCCGTCCCGAGGTGCCCGCGGAGAGGAGCCATGGGCACGAAATCTTGGAGGAGGAGGAGGAGGAGGACCTCCCCATCCTCCCCTCCCTCCTGTCCAACCTAGTAGTAGTGGTGGTGGAGAACTGGCCCGTCACAGATGCGGCCGCTGCTTCAGGGGGCGCGCAAACATGGATTAGCGGTCCAGCGGTCCCCATGGATTTGGCGCGCGGTCGCCACATCCATGGATCGGGGGACTTGCCCTCCCCAAAAATGCGGCCAGTGCCGCCCCGCGCGGTGGCGGAAATCCGCGATCTCCCATGGAAGCGGGACCCGTCGCTAATCCACGACCTCTTGATCCATGTTCGCGCTCGCCAAAAGAAGAGTATGGCCAGCGTGACGGGAAGGCACGGCCCTCCTAGGATTGAGTCGGGCGTGTCCCCCCTACAGGGGGATTTTTAGCGAAAACAAAAAAAAACTTGAAAAATACTCCCAAATGGGCAAAAATAGTCAAAAGATCGTCCCCTGATGATTTTGTTGACTATGTTGGTAGATTCCCCCTGTAGAGGGACAGGCCCGACTTAATCCTAGGAGCTCCTCCCCCTCGCGGCGCCAGGTTAACGCCGGCGGAGGCGCAGCAGGCCCGGCCGCGAGCCCGCAGGCCGGAAAGATGCAAGAGACTTTTGGGGCGGGGAGCCGCAAGGTCGAGGAAAGATGAGGGGGTATGCGGAGGTCGAGGCTTGATTTGGACTCCCCCGAGCAGACGAAACAGTGAGTAAGGATGATGATGATGATGATGATGAGGAGGAGGAGGAGGAGGAGGAAGATTACCAAGCTCGCAATAGGCTTAAAGGATACCGAAACTCTTTTTTTGGGATGAAGCGGGAGGGAGAAGGAAGAGGAGGAACGACTTGATGAAGCAGGTGATCCGAAAAGAAAGGCCATCGGGGTGGCCTGACGGAAGGGCGACTCGGGAATGTAGCGGTTGCGGGGGCCGTCGGCTCGTGTTCAGGCCACGAGAAGCAGTGAACTCTCTCCCCGCGCCACTCCTCGAGCTCGGAGCGAACTGAACGCGGACAAGAGGAACCAGGAAACCAATAGCAAAGAGGCGGGAAGGAGGAGGAGGAGGAGGAGGAGGAGGAGGAGGAGGAGAAGAAAAGAAGAAGGGGGAGGGGGACGAAGAGGCAGAGGAATAGGAGGAGGGGGGGAAGGAGGAGGAGGAGAGGAGAGGAGGGAGGAGGGAGGAGAGAGAGGCGGGAGGAGGAGGAGGAGGAGGAGGAGATGGAGGAGGAGGAGGAGGAGGAGGAGGAGGAGGAGGAGGAGGAGAGCCATCTCGGGGCGAGCGTTTGCACGCCTCATGGGCCATGGAGCGGCGCGCGCCGCTTCCCCCTTCGCCCCTTCGGCTCCGCAGCCGACGGTGTCTGCAGCGCGCCTAGCGAGTGTCTGGAGCAGTTGCAGGCTGGCAGACAGTTCGGGAGCGGCCAAGAGGGGGGTGCAAATCATGACCGGCGGCATGTGCGCGGCCCAGCGGGGGGGCCAGGGACGTAATGAAATGAGAAGAGGCGCCAGGAAATCTGGGGAAAAATCATCGCCCGCGCCATGAAGTCCACCCCCCCCTAGTCATCACCCCCCTCTTTTCCACCCCCGAAAAGTGCAGGACGGACGGGCGGACAGGACGTCGGCGCAAGGCTCCACGAGGGAGCTGCCAGGGGGGGGGCCTGAGCCTACTCACGTGTTGATGTACTCATCCGTCAGCGTATCCCAAGCCGGTGTTTTTTGCCATTTGTACCCAACTTCCGTGGCCAGTAGCTGTCTGCACATGCTTTTTGATATCGTCTGCCCAACGAGTCTTTGGACGTCCTCGACGTCGGCGGGTTGGCATTAACAATATTGTATGCCAACAAGATTGTATGCCGTCTTACTTTGCTTCAGAGCACCAGTGCTCACGTGCGGAACGTCGCGACGATAGGTTTGACGCACATGTTGTCACAACTGGTCGATCGTTACTCCGTGGATGATCACGGACATCGGAACTCAGCTGGCGCATCACATATTTCCATTACCTTCTAGCAGACTTCAGATTGTCTTTCGGCGGCCTCCCACATCGCTTCTGGTGCAGATCCCGTGCAGCGAGGACAAGCTCGACAGCCGGGTGGTGCTGGCACTTGCGATCCTCGTGAACACGCTCCCGGAGTTGGGTGCCTTCCAGGAGGCCCAGGGAGCAACTCTCCAGGTACACCGTCTGATGGGAGAGAGGCGACAGTGGCAGCACCGGGTGCCACATGTCTTCGCCGCGAAGCTCCTGCGTTCCTTTTCGCTGCCCCTGGTCATGCAGGCGATCTGCATGACGTCCCCCATGCTCCATCTCTCGGGGATGGACAGACCTCCCTTTCGTGAAACGCGGTTTAGTGAAAACCACCTCGGGCCAAAACCTGGCGGGCGCAAGCCTGGAAAACAACGTCCGCGGCGCCCTCTCGAGAACCGCAAACGGATCATTCACGAATCGACGTGTCAGGGTGGGGGCTCTGTCTACCCCCGATCTACCTGACCCTCCTCCTCCTCT